TTTACATTTGGCAAATTAAGGAAAATGCTCTATTATCTACCCTATCTTTGTGAATCTAAAGTTTTATATCTAATTTATCTTTTATCATAACTAAGAAAAACTATAACTATCATCTTCAACTCTTCAAAGACCCCAGAAGAACATAATGTTACTTAAGTAAAGAGGAAGTACATTGTAAGAACTTCCAAAACCCTAGAATTAACAGAGACCTCTCGCTGCCTGGACAGTCAGGAACTCAGAATCCTCCTGCCTCAGCCTCCTGATTACAAGTGTAAGCCACCATGCCCAGCCCTATCATCTACTCTGAAGCATTTGCTAGGCTTATTGTATTCCCAGTGCTAAACTGGGCGTGGCTGGGAACCTACTTCAGTTCTTGAGAGGCCTGCAGCCTAAAGGACAGAAACACAGACTCACAGTCCCCAACAGCCAGATATATGCTAAGACAAAGAGCAGGAAGCTTAAAGGGCTATGGGAACTCAAAGGAGACGATGTTGATGGAGCCTAGAACCAGGGAAGGCATCTAAGAGGAGGTGACAATTGCACAAGAGACGAGAGAACTCAGCACAGAAGTTTGGCCCTAGAGTTTCCCATGGAAGGGAAGGTTCCCTAGAGACAGGATGCTGTAGCTTCCTGAGGGCAGGGAAAAAGCTGGGTCCTCCCAGGCCTCTCCACCCCTCTAGGCCTGTGCTCCTATAAGTGAAATGGGAGATGCAATATCTTCTGGGCCTGGGGAGGGAAAAGTTGGTAAGGAAGGGCAAGGTGGGAGAGCAAGGGAGGTGAGGTCCTGGCTCACGCCCTCCCCGCTTACGTAATCATGGTGTGATACAGGTCATCTCAGAGCCTTGGTGAAACCACCTGAGGAACAGAGCATGAGCCAAAACTGTCTCCAAAGACCCTCCCCAGCCGGGACAGGGAAATGACATGACACGAAATTACAAAAGGGTCTTTATTTAGAAAAAGCCAAAGGGGCCCTGGGAGCAATGGGACAGGAGGCAGGCAGCTTCTCAGGGGTCAGGGGCATTTGGACAGATGCGCTTGAGTGGGGGGGCGCCCTCCGAGTCCTCTGTGTCACCCTGGGCTGCCTCAGGGACAGGTGGCACTGGCTCAAAGACAGGGTAAGCTTCGGGGGCCTGAAGAGGAAGGGCGGACAGGTGTGAGCTCCACTCTAACCCAGAAGTACAGCCTCCTAGCCTCTGCCTTTTCCACTCTATTCCCCTGGGGACCCAGAGTCTGGCCCAGGACCAAGTGAACAAAAATGATGGCAACGCTATTTGGGGGAAAGAATTTGATTTTTTCTGGGAAGGGAATCAGGTAGTCCTTGTAGGGAAAAGCAAACCTGACAGCTCAGGATATGTGTCTGTGTGATGTGGGGGCCCAGGCTCTCCGTGCACACTTAGAAGGTGAAGCAGCACCAAGCTGCACCCTGAGCCTAGATTTTTGTTTTTTAATCTGTGGAGGAACACCAAGTTCATCGCAGGCTTCCAGAGCTCTTAAATCAGCCATGATTCAGCCCTCAGGATGGTGTCTCTAAAACACTCCTCTTTTTACCCAAGAATTCAACCTCAGCTAAGACTTTCAGTGGGTTCTAGGTCCATATCTCCCTCCTGGACCCTAGAATGCAGACTCCCTGTGCCCCCAGAACCCCATTCCCCACCAGGTCAAAGTCCAGTCTCTGGCCTCGCTCACCTCAGCTTCCAGCAATTCTGGAACAGGCTCCTCCTTGGTCAGCTTCGGGGGGTCATCAGTACCGCCTGCGGGTGTGTCCCCTGGGTCTGTAATGCGAAATGAACAGACACCTCCTGAGCAGAGGCTCTGCGCCAGGATAACAAACCAGACCGGGGGCAGAAGAAACGGGCAGGTACCAATCACACAACACAACACTGTGGGAGCCAGAGGAGGGCACCAAGATGCCAAGAGGGGGGAGATTCAGGTTGGGTTTTGTTATAGTTGGGAGTGAGCCAGGAGACAAGCAGAGAGAGGGAACAGAATTTAGGCAGAGGGAAATACATGCTTGGTGACCACAGATTCTATGTTGTACTAAATCCACATCCTGACCTTAGGCAAGCTATTTCTCTGAACCTCAATGGAATCACCTGCAGAATGGGAACAGTGACAGTAACACAAGAGACTGCAGTGAGGGTCAAAGGAAGCCTTTAGCACATAGTATGTGTGCTAGCGAGAATCTTCATTCATGCATTCACTCATTCACCCACTCATTGTGGGAATAGAAACGGGGCTCGGGGCCTCAGCCATGCCAGACAAGCTTTCTGCCACGGAGCTGGATTCTCTACCCTATCATCTTATCAGCCATGCCAGACAAGCTCTCTGCCACGGAGCTGGATTCTCTACCCTATCATCTTACATGAACAGAGGTTTCCGGAACAATCTACACACGGTCCTGAGACTCAACCATGTCATGGTATTCGTGGCGGGGGAACAGTTCCTGTGGCCACAGTTTGTTAAGGCCCCAGAGTCCAACTAAAGAACCAGAGGCCCGGCGGAGCCACTGAAGGATCTGAAGCAGGAAAAGAATCTCTCGGAATCTGTGCTTCAGGAAAAGCCATCCGCAGCTGCGTGGCGGCCACTAGGGACAGGGACGGAGGCCAGAGCAGGCACAAGTGAGCAATGAGAAGACAGGACCAGAGACACAGAAATCAGCCACACCTGGGAAGCAGTACTGACCAGACAGGGGGCCGACTACATGAAGACAGAGAAGCTGAAGAGGGCTCAGGCCCAGGGTGTTGGCTCACTGGCTCTGTAAGTCTGGATGATGGGCTCCTCGTACATAAAGAGGAATCATAATAGGATCATCGCTCCCAGAAAGTAACAGTGGAGATTAAATGAGAAACCGAAAAGCAAGCGTTGACGTGCTCAGAACACCTAGCAGGGGCTTTGTTAGCCGGTACTCTATTGCTACTAATCGCTCTGTCAGAGTTATTTATACTCCGAACAAGTATTTACTGAACGTCTATTATGTATCCATTGGTGTTCTGATGTCACAGGAATGGACAACATCAGTATGGCTGGCGCGAGATGATAACAGGAATGACAATAAGCAAGCAAAGAAATAAATCTGCGTAAAAATTGCAGACGGTGATACGCTACCTACAAAGACAGACTCAGCCAGAGGACTGGACAGCAGCTGGAGCAGCTGGATGTAATTTCTGCCAGGGATAGGAGAGGTTCCCCCCACCCTCAGGGGGAGCAGGACCAGGGAGAGAGGACATTGACATAGGTACAAGGACAAGATGGTGGGTTCAACTTTCAAGAAGGGAGGGCTCCTAAGAGCCACCTGGTCCTACCTCTCTCTTGGCCCAGCTGTGGGGGCTGAGTATCTTCTGCAATCGCTTCTGGGGGTCCAGTGGGTGACCCAGGGCGGCTGGGCTGGGGAGTCCCCCCAGGGCTGGGCTCTGTGCCTTTCTGCAGTGAACCTTCTGAATGGAAACTCTGGTTGCTGTTCTCATCTGCGGAAGCAAAAGCCAAGTTGGTTGGCCAGAGGGCCTCCCAGTAGCTTCCTTCCCTCCTCATTCCAGAATCTGCACATACCGTTGAGATCCAGCAGGATGAGGGGGCCACCCGCCCTGGGACTGGTGCCCCTGCCGCGTCTCTCCCGGCCACGGGATCGCTCTGCCCCGCCTCCTGCCCGCCGCCGCTCCTGGGGGTTAGAGGGGTAAGGTCAGAGCCAGCTGTCTGGTGTGCACTTACAAATCCCCTCAATACAAATAAAGAAACCTAGCCTTAGAGAAGCAAGAGGCGCTGTCTCAGGTTATGTAGGCTGAGTTAGGTCTTGAACTTGGAGAGGGTGGGGGCGTGTGTGTGTGTGTGTGTGTGTGTGTGTGTGTGCATGCGTGCGCTAATAATCGTTACCATCTGCCTGAGCTCCACACTGGAGTCTCCAAGCCAACTGAAGGTGGAGGCCAAGGTGGGGATGGAAATTGTCTGAGGTTGCACAGATGCAAGGCTTGTTGGGGGTTGGGCTTGCTCACCTCCTCCTGGGGATCCACCACAGGCACCCACTTGAAGATTCGAAGGGAAGTGTCACCCACAGTCACCCAGCGCTTCTCCCTGTGGGAGGGCAGGAGACTGGGTTAGGAAGAACACCATAGAGCAGGGGGTCAGGGAGATGTGCTAGGGTAAGGGAAGCTTCGCTAACGTCACAGAAGCAGAAAGTGCCCTGTAAAGACCAGGGCATAGACGGATATAACTTGGAGCTGCGGTTTTGCAGAAACCTGGGGCACTCAGCAGGGCGCCACCAAGGCCTGGCAAGGGACTCTGGCAATGAAGACCCGGGGCCGAGCTTGCAAGAGTGTCAAAGCTTCAGGGGGCGGGGCATAGATGAGGGCTCCCGCTCTGGGAAAGCACCACTCCGGACCACGCTTTGTAGACCTCTGGGAATTGCCGGGGAGAAGGGGGGGTGGGGGCAGGCGATTCTGAGCACAGCTGGTGGGCGGGGGCAGCTGGCCAGGAAAGGGCGGACGCGTTTGGAGGAGGTGGCTCGGCTGTGTCCCTGGCCCAGGGGCAGCGCTCACCATCTCCGGACCTTCTCGATGGTCGCCATCACCTTCTTGATGTCATCTTTGGCCCGGCTCCGGGTCTCGGCCCGCACGGTCCGGCCGGCCATGCTGGCGGGGCTGGGGCCGGGACTGAGCCCGTGGTGGGACGGCCTGCGGTCCGGCGATCTCAGGCTGCGCGCCAGGCCCCGGCGCCGTTCTTTCGGCCTGCCGGCCCTCCGGGAGTTGGCCGCGCCCTCCCTCGCTCCCCAACGCCTCCGCGCGTCCCCGCCTGGCTTCCTGCGACCGCGCCCCGCCCCGGCCCGTCCCCGGAGCGGCCCGGGCGGCGCGGGCAGCTAGAGCCCCGGCCTGGAAGCCCGGCCAGCCCCGCCCCGGCCCGGGCCCGCCCCTCGGGGCGCACGGACGCACAGCGCCCTCTGCCAGCCGCGGAGAGGGAGAACCGGGGGGCAGCTGTGCGGCTGGACGCGCGCGGCCCGAGCGAGGCGGTGCGTTCCGGCCACGTGGGCACAGGGGTGCGCGAGAGGGACTGTCCTGGTGTGCGTCCGCGGCGGGTGGGCGTCCCTGAAATGCTGTGTGCGCGCGCGTCTGCCCTCTCCAGGCTGCTGGATTCTACGCTGCCCAACTTCACTTGTTCATCCATTCATTCAAGTCTCATGGACAGTGCCAAGTGCGTGCCAGACTTTCGAGTGGGGAGCGGGCCTCCTCAGCCAGAATGGCGGAAGTGAAAAAGACATACCGTGTAGATGAGGTAGCAGAACAACTTGGCATTCCTTGAATCGGGGAACGTACTTGGTAGAGATACTTTGGGAAACTGGCAGTTTTCCAGTAAAGCTAAACTTATGCCAACCCGGTCTCCCAGCAATTCCAGTCCCAAGCTGTCAACGCCCAACCGAAGAAAAACGTGTGCTGTCTAGTTTTTTTGTCTGTTCGACACAAACTAGAGTCATTTGGGATGAGGGAACCTTGATTGAGAAAATGCCTCTTTTATGCTGCCCTGGAGGTAAGTTTGTGGGGCATATTCTTGATTAATAATTGATGTGGGAGAGCCCAGACCACTGTGGGCAGTGGCCACCCCTGAGCAGATGGGTCCTGGGTACTCGAGGAAAGCAGGCTGAGCAAGCCTTGGGGAATGAGCCAGGGTAAGTAGCGTTACTTCCTGGCCTCTGCTTCAGTTCCTTCCTCCAGGTTCCTGCTTTGAGTTCCTGCCCTGACTTCCCTTCATGATGAACTGGCTGTAACTGTAAGCTGAAATAAAGCCTTTCCTCCCTAAATTGCTTTTGATTGTTTGATTTATCAAAGCAATAGAAATCGCAACAGGACAAAATGCTCCTGTATGAACACCAAGACCCAGATACTGTTTGTAGCTCTTTTCACAATCTGGGAGCAACTCCTCAACAGAATGGAATGAAAAACCAGTTATAACCTGCTTACACTGTGGTCACAGACACAACAACCAGAATGACAAAGCCCTGCTATGCCCAACAGTGGGGATGCCTTAAATAAAAGAAGCCAGATGTGGCAGCGTGCTTTAGCTAATTCTACCTTCTAAGTTCAGACAGGACCCTGGTTTAGCTCCCACGTTGCACTGTATAAACGTAGCTCCAGGGAATTCAATGCCCTCGTCTGGCTTCCCCCAGCCGCTGTGCTCAGATGCACGTATGCACCCAACACACCCAACATACACATAAATGAGAAGGAACGAAGATAAATGCATCTCGGTTGATTTGATTTGACGCTGACCCATCAATAGATAGGGCCACCTGCATACTTGTGTGGTCACGCCCACCATGTCCGACAGCATTTCTGGAACCAAACTGTCAATGATAAAATCTCAGCTCTGTCACACCCACCTGCATGACCTTGGGCAAATCGTTTGTCCTTATCCCTTCTATAACAGGGAAATAAGTTAACGTGTATATATACATAGCATCTAGGGCAGTGTCTGGCACAAGGTGAATACCCAATAAATACTGCTGGGTAGCGTGTGGCTGTGGCCACTGCGGACAGTCTGGCTTCCAATGTACCTGGAGTGCACTCCAGGAGCGAATGCCTTGTTCTGATGGCTTGCTGATGCTAACGTCCTCACACAGGCCTTTTCAGGCCTTTTCAGGCCTTTTGCTCCCAAACTCCATTATCTGACGCCTGAAACCTAATGTGGGTCCTCTCTGTTCCAGAGCCCGAGACAGAGTAGGTGCTTGGCACCAATTGTAGAGACAAATGTATGCAAGGCTTTCCATATCTCCCCCAGGGTGACGAGCTGCTGTTTGGGTGTGACCTGTCTGAAACCTGTGCTCACCTGTGTGAGAGGCTGCATTCCACTGCCTAGATACACACACATAAGTGTGTGTGTGTGTGTGTGTGTGTGTGTGTGAGAGAGAGAGAGAGAGTGAGAGAGAGAGAGTGTGTGTCTGGGTCCAGATGCCTAAACACACATGCATGTGTGTGTGAATGTGGGTTGGGGTGCCTAACATAGAAATGTGTGTTTGTGCAAGCGTGTGTGTGTGTGTGTGTGAGAGAGAGAGAGAGAGAGAGAGAGAGAGAGTCTGGGTCCAGATGCCTAAACACACATGCATGTGTGTGTGAATCTGGGTCGGGGTGCCTAACATAGAAATGTGTGTTTGTGCAAGCGTGTGTGTGTGTGTGTGTGTGAGAGAGAGAGAGAGAGAGAGAGAGTCTGGGTCCGGATGCCTAAACACACACACGTGTCTGTAAGAGAGAGAGAGTGTGTGTGTGTGTCTGGGTCCAGATGTGTGGGTGTGTCTGGGTCCAGATGCCTAAACACACATGCATGTATGTGTGAATCTGGGTCGGGATGCCTAAACATTGTGTGTGTGTGTGTGTGTGTGTGTGTGTGTGTGTGTGTGAGAGAGAGAGAGAGAGAGAGAGAGTGAGTGTAGGGGGTCTATAACAGTAAGGTGAGGGGAAGACCTGTCTCACTCCCGATTAGAGTGACAGAGAAGGTAGAAGGCATCTAAGACAAAAAGCTAGGCCGGGAGGGGGGGCATGCCTTAGGTGCGCCCTAATCTAGACAGGCCTACCCTGGCTTCTCTCTCTGTCTTGGCCCAGGGGGAGTACCTGCCTTGGTTCCTCTCCTGCCAGTCCTGCAGCTTCCCAGCTTCCTCTCAAAGCAGCCCTTTTTGTCAAGCTCTGCCTCAGGTCAGAGCCTGAGTCTCCTCCTCCCAGCAAGACACAAGAGCTGCCTTAAAGGCCCAAGTGCCCGTTCGCTGTGCCAACACCTGCCTTCCCACTCTGGCCCCTTCCCAGTCTAAGCCTTACAAGCGGGTTACTGAGCTCAGAGCCAAGGAATCTTGCCTGAAAGTAGTGGTAGGAAGGAAATGTTTGGGGTCTGAGCTATGATTGGCCGAGCCCGAGCCACGCCCCTAACCCTTTCCCCCCTTTTTCCCCCTCCCCTTCTCCCCTCCTCCCCTCCTGTAGGGGTGTGTTGAGGGAAACCAGGATCGGCCAGGGGCCAACATGAGCCAGAGGGAGGGAAGTTTGGGTAAGGGGCTGAGCTACTGAATCCTGGGTCCCTAACAAGAATACGAGTGAGGGGGGTCGAAAGCCTGGGTTTGGATTCCTGTCAACACCGAGTCTGGGAGGGGAAAGACCTGGGCGGGGGGAGGGGGAGGGGGAGGGAGGAGACGCCGGTGTCAGGTAACCAGCGGGTGAGTTGGGAGAAAGGGCAGGAGCAAGGGTTTAGAGGAGGCCTGGAGTTGAAGCTTCAGGGTCTTGGGTTCAGGGGTTAGAGCACCGACTATATGGGTGAGTACACCCTGAAGAAGGGCTGGGGTCGGGCTGGGGCCGGATAACAGTGCCTATCAGAGTATTAGGAGAGAATCAAAGCTGGAGGATTGGAGGGAGAAGCTAGTTAAGGAAGCTTCATAACTCCTACGGAGGATCTATGAGTGACAGGAAGAGGGCAAAGTACGGGCTTCTGAGATCTTGGCCCGCAGTGGAAACTCAGACGGAAGGGATTGTCGGGTCGGGACTACATTCCCCAGCATGCATTAGAATTCATGTGGTGTGATGTTGGGAAATGTAGTCGTCTTCATTTGGCACCGCTCTCAGGTTTGTGCCAGCGACAGGTCAGACTGTTGTTGAGTTGATACATTGAAGCTGTTGAACCTAGCACTTCACCTGGAAGCATCAGGAAGAGAATAGGTCTTCGGTTTCTCTATCTGTAGAACAGGCCGGGAAAACGTGTTTCGAGGTGAAGTTCTGTGCTTCAGTGATGCTGACTGAATTCAACCAACAGTTGGAGAAATCCAAAGATATATGAACTTTGTCCTTAAAGGGTCTCAGGATAGCATTGGTGGTATAGGATAAGCATAGCTGCCCTCTAAGGAGTTTCAGAATAAGGCAGATTCACACGGATAAAAGAAGCTACCTTGGAAATATGAACAAATTACCTAAAGTGGAAGAAGAAACTGATTTGAGGTAGTGAGAACCTGAAGGAGGCAGATTATGAATTTGTTCTTAATAGCATTTCTGCAGTGATTTGGAGACAGGAGAGACAATTCACATAGAGAAACTACTTGGGGCCTGGTTTTCCCTCCATTGGGATGGGACATAGTCACAGAGCAGAACCTCTGGGTTTGGAAAGAGCCATCTAGGAAAGATAATTAAGGAGTAGGATTGGGTTGCACTCATAACCCCTCATCCTCCCCTCTCGTTCCCACCAGAAGATTCCCAGGATGACTCCCCAATCTCCTTCCTTCCCCATTTGGAGGCCAAGATCCGCCAGACACACAACCTTGCACGCCTCCTCACCAAATACTCAGAACAACTGCTGGAGGAATACGTGAGTAGGGACTGGGGTGTGGGGTGGGGAACACACACCTCCAGCTGCTGGAGGAACACGTGAGTAGGGACTGGGCTGTGGGGTGGGGAGCACACACCTCCAGCTGCTGGAGGAACACGTGAGTAGGGACTGGGGTGTGGGGTGGGGAACACACACCTCCAGCTGCTGGAGGAACACGTGAGTAGGGACTGGGGTGTGGGGTGGGGAGCACACACCTCCAGCTGCTGGAGGAATAGGTGAGTAGGGACTGGGGTGTGGAGTGGGGGAGCATGCCCCACAGAGGTCTTCACCCATTTCTTCCACCTCATCCCTAGCAGTGGCAATCAGAGTTTCTGAGGGGAACATTAACTATCTTCGGGCCACACAGTAAAGTAGAGGACCCCACCAGTAGCCAGTAATACTGAGCCTCCTGGAGGCTCCATCCTTGGTGCTGGAAATCAGAACCAGTGTGAGGAACCAGAGGAACTCTGAGAGTCAGGAAACCTAGATCTGAGCTCAGTACGCTCTTGAGGTCTCAACTCTTTGCACTGTCAGATGAAGCAGCTGAACAGTGTGAACTGTGACCATTTCCACCTGGGACATTCAGAGAAGCCAAAAAGGGGTTTCAGTCAGGGGCAAAATTTCTACCCATGAGGGGACTTTCCAGAGCAAAAGGGGCCCACCAACATAAAAAAGACTCTTCTAGATTACCAGGTGTAGCGGGAAAGGCTGGTGTTTTGATTCAGACTGTAGGGTTGCTACCTGAAAACCTTGGGATATAACGGTAAACCTGAAAGAGGAACCTAACACTGGCAGTTGGAGGATTCAGCCAGCTTTGTAGGCAGACCAGACTCCATCTCTGCTGCTTCCCAGGGAACCTACTGCCAATCATGGCTTGTGCTCCACCCATTTTTAAATTATATTCATTTATTTTGTGTGCATGTGTGTGGGCACCCAAGGGTCATGGCGTGTATATGAAAGTCAGACAACAGCTGAGGGACTTGGTTTTCTCTTTTACTGTGTGGATCAAACTCAGGTTGTCAGACTGGCAACTATCTCAGTGGGCCGCGGTTTTCTTATTTACAAAGCCATCTTCGTCATTATCACCCATTTTTAGGAAGACACTGTATTCAAAGCAGCAACCACAAGGCCTGTATCCGAGGCAAGATATTTGCAAAGAATAAATATTATTGTTAGAGCATTTGACAAATTACAAATCCCCTTTGTCTTTCATTTGGTGGCAATCCAGTAGGGAAAAGGAAGTGAATTTGACTTGGTCCCTGCACTGTTTCTGTGGTCCTCGAGATAGAAAGACAGAACAGAGAGCATTCTTTACTCTCACAGACGAGAAGGCTGAAGCCAAAAGAAGGCAATGGTCTTGCTAGTAAGTAGCAGATAGGAGTTAAACCTACGGCTGGGACTGGAGATACGGTTTAA